GAGACCCATACTGTGTGTATCTAGTAAACTAACATGTCTTCTGAGAAAAAGAAGGCAATAATTAGTTCTTTTAGTAATCAGTACTTTGTTTTTCTGAGTTCAAAATTACCCATATTTTTCAATTAAAAACATTCTGCAGCTATAATCTAACAAAAATGTTTGAGATAGCCTTGTGCATAAAAACATTTATAATGAAAAGTACAGATTATATGATATTGTTGATAGCAAATTTAATTTTTTTCTTTTTCTACACAAATACGTGAAGGCACAAGGAGTGGATTTATGCCTGTAGTTGGAAGTACAACTATAAAATCGGTGTGCTTTTTAATTTTTTTTAAGCCTCATAAGAGCTAATGAGCTCTATTCAAGATAGCTTAACCAGGTGAAAAGGAAAATTCTAAAAGCTTTTTTTTCTCTCCCACATATCATCAAAAGCAATTAGTTTAGATGGAAATTTATAGCTCTTCTGTTCCATTAACATTAAACGATTATTCAGGTTTGCATATTCATTGGGAAAATCACTTTTTTTTCATATGATTTCATTAGTGTTTTGATATGTAATGTCTTGGTTTTTTCTGTTTTCATTCTTTTCGTAAGCATGAATGCTAGCTCTTATATCTAGATGTGTATTTATTTTATCTGGTGAAAAAACCGGTTTGATAATTTTGAGATTGAGTAAAAGAAAACCACTGTAACTCATTCTCAAATCCATGTGTTCATATTTTTGTTCATTCCATTAACTTATAATACTTCATTTTGTAGCAGGATTGCTTATTTATATCAGCTTTTACAATAAAATAAAATACACCTGAAAACAACATTCAGATTAGGCCTATGAACATGAATCAGTTTTGCGATCAATTGCTTTTCATTAAGTTTTAAAAACCAGGAATTAACTCATTTTCCCATGTTTATCAGTAATTCCTAATACAATAGCATATTGCAGCAGTCATTTTGATGGCCATTCTTGGCCTCAAACAGTTGTTTTCAGGATTTTTGACATTCTTTCAAATTCTTATGTGATTCTCTTGAGTTTACAGTGTGTTTGGGAGCAGACTTTGTTACTGTGTTTTGTTTCAGACTAAAGACTGCTAGATGTTTGTTGATGCATAACTTCCATGTTACCACTATCTTTGGGGAAAGTATTCTCTATTAAAATTTTTAATTGAAGTATAGTAAACATACATATTAGTTTCATGTTCACAACATTGTGATTTGACAACTCTGTACGTTATACAACACTGTTAGGGTATGGAGTCGACCACCCCTCAATTAGACAGAGAACACTTGGGATAATGCAAGTCACACAGCGAAGTTTATTTGACAAGCTTAAGCTTGGGCCCAAGTATACCAGACACAGCAGAGTAGGGACTTGGACCCCGAGGCTAGTTAAGGCAGGGGTTTTTATGGGTCATTACAAGAGGCTTGGGGCAGGGGAAGGAGGAGAAGTTTCAGACTTTTCTGCAGTAGGCTGATTAGCTGTTGCCAGGCTGGTTACAGGGCTAGGTACTTTCTTGGAAGTGTTACAGGGTTAGGTATAGTGGTTTTTCCTGGAAGTGTTTACAGGGTTAGGTATTCCTGTTACTAAAGCAGGGTGGAGGGGTCTCTGGAACTAAAGCAGGATGGGGGGGGTCCCTGGAACTAAAGTAAAGTAGGGGAAAGTTCAGCCCTTGGGCCTGAGATGGCTGCCCAAGCTAAGATGGCTGTACCTATGTAACCCACTCTTACAGTCTATTTTTCCAAAGTCTCATTTTATAGATTAACTATGGCTCTTATCTCTCCTTTACATCTTTTTGTTTTTAAAGATTTTATTTATTTATTTGACAGACAGAGATCACAAGTAGGCAGAGAGGCAGGCAGAGAGAGAGGGGGAAGTAGGCTCCCCGCTTTGCAGAGAGCCTTATGTGGGGCTCGATCCCAGGACCCAGAGATCATGACCTGAGCCGAAGGCAGAGGCTTTAACCCACTGAGCCACCCAAGCGCCCCATCTCCTTTACATCTTCTATAGAAACATTTGCCATTGGCTCCATATACTAGGTGAACTTGTATTGATTATTTTGTCCAGTGCAGGTACAAGGTGTACTGCAGAAAGTACAGTGATAAGCAGGAGAGATCCTTCCCTTGAGGAGGTTATTGTCTAAAAGACGATAAGAAAATTAGTTACTAGAAAATCACAGTTCTTGCTATATTTCCATACTTCCAGGAAGAGTTTTGCTCAGTTACTGAGTCTGGATTTCACAGTTTGTATAGGCAGTTCTCTCTGCTATCTAACTTAAATCTACCCTTCTTTAATGTGTCTTCATTATCATAACCTTTATTATAGTCACAGATACAAATTATTATTGTCAGTGTGCAGTGAGTCCTAATAGTATTTAACTATTTGGGACAAATATCTTGTAACAAACTATATTTGTTACAAACATATCTGTTAATTCTAATAAATTCTTAACATTATATTTTGAAGTGACTATAAGATCAATTATGTTTGCATATGATGATAGTTGAAGGTATGTTTCTTGTCAGTGCAAAAAGAAAAGTAATAGAAATAACCTTAAAGGCGGGTGACACACAGAAGGAGTGACATGTAGCTATCTCCTTTTCCTTCACACATGATTTTTATACCTGTGACTTTTTTTTTTCCCTCTCTGGATTCTTACAGTAGTTTGGCAATAGATCGATACTCACCAGCTGCATAGGTAATGAAGTGTATAAAATTTAAATTATATAAACAAAAGTTGGTCCAATTCTTTGGGGAAATAACCCATTTGTAGCTGCTCTCACTAAAGCTGTCAGTGTATTTTTTTAAATGTAGTACAGATCAGCTAAACAAATGATAGCTGCTTGAGGTGATTTGATAGACAAATACCTCACAACACAAATAAATCCTGTACATATGTTATGCCCCAATAATGGGTCCGTGACTAAAGGAGTGAGACTGATACAAAGCGAAGGTCAAGCAAAGCTTTATTTCACACCAAGCATCAAGAATCTAACCCAGTGTTCGGGGACGCACCTCTTACAAGAGAGGGCAACCCTTCTCTGTTTCACAGACCAGCTTTTAAGGGCAAAGACCATGCGGTCTGGCCTGGCCATGCACAGGTGACCAATGAGATTGTAACACACACAGGAAACTCCACAGTGATGCTAGGTGACCAATTGAATTACAATTTACCCTAGTAGACATTAGAACCAGCCTATTACACCTTGATTAGAATTGGCGCCAAAAAGGCTCCCAAAGGGGAGGGGGTGGGGGGCATAGTCCTTGGTAGCTAGGAAGATAGTATGCAACACCCCACTGATCGGATGTCTCCACCTGGCCTGACCCACCCTTGTATCTGGGCTTTGTTACCCGGAGCTGGTTTCCAGGACTTGTTTTTAAGTAAATCCCTTGGGGGAAGGGGAGCAGGGACAGTTTAAGGGTTAAACAACAAGGTTTTTGTTTAACTTTAATGAAAGCGTCTTGCTAAATAGGTCCTTACACATAATATAACACCATGATCAGCACCCCATAGTACTTCAAGGAATGAATTATAAAACAAAGAATGTCAGTCAACTAAAATGCTTCTAGGGAGCACAACTAAAAAAACATATATTTCAGTCGAGTTTGTATTTTATTTAGTTATAGCACTTAGGTACAGTCAAGTGCCTTTATGAGACATGAGCATTTTAATCATTCTATCTGTGGCTGGGGATGTTGCTCAGTGCTTCCTGTTATTTCTACGCTTAGTTATTCAGTACATTCTCTTTTACACCTAGATCCTGTAATGGAGATCCAGCTCTTATCTGTGTAACTAGTCTGATTGTAAAAATTCACACTTTTGATTGCAGCAAATTCTTAGTATGACTAATGCATACTAATTTATGGCTCCTGTTACGAGTAGAATATAGCTTCACCTCCTCTGTAGTGTCTTCTTTTAAAGGGCACTTTGTGGCTTAAGGACTTCTGTTTATGTTGTCAAGTTCTTTTCATGTTTATATTTCAAGAAACTAAGCTATATGTGCAAAAAATAAATATAATTAGGACGACTAATAATTTTTTGGGGGGTGCCGGAGTGGCTTAGTCAGTTAAGTGTCCTGTTCAATCTCAGCTGAGGTTTTGATCTCAAGGTCCTGGGTTCAGGCCCTGAAGAGAAAAAAGAAGTATTTATTTTCATTGTGTGTGCTTGTATATGTTCATATGTGTCTACTCCCACCCCCAATTCTGTCCCAAAATTCATCTGATGAACGAAAGCTAGTTAAATGACTTGGAGTTAGAGGAAACTAATGGCTAAAAGAAATTATTACCATAGGAGCTATACCAAAAGAAGCAGAGAATGTTCACCAATACTATGAAACAAGTAAGAAAAACCCAATTTGAATTCTTTTAAAGAAAACCAGTATAGAATTCTTAAATAATATACTTATACATAACCTAATAATTTAATATCAACATTCTGTCAATGTAGGAGAAATTCTTTAGAGCATATATAAATATTTAATATAATTGATGACTAGAAATCTAGGTTTAAAAATTAAGTGTTCACTCAGAGCTAGTCCTCTGATTTCAAATAGCATAGTAATAGTAATTTCTTAGGAAATGTGGTTCCACTTACATTTTCTGTCATCATCTACATCTTTTATCTGTGGCCTAACTGCTCACTCATCTCAATTTCATGTTTATAAATTTTCATAGTTCACCTCAGAGACAACTGGTAGTTTAAATGCTACTGATGACTAATGATTATGCAGTTAACAAAGAGCAAGCATTTAGCTTTAGTAATATTTTCTTATTGTTATAAGGGATGATTTGCTTAAAACTGAGCAGCTAACTATTTTTAAACTTTGATAAAAATCTTCCTTTGGAATGTCTAAAACAAACCAAAACAATAAGTTTTAAAACCCAGAAGGAATTCATTTTATGCAGAAATTTTATAGTTCTGTCTATAAAATTATGTCTACTGGAAAAGAAAATAACAGGCTTTATATATATATATTCTTACAGAGCATTTCTTATCTTACAGATGAGCTCAGTGAAAATGTTGCAACCTCGTCTCAAAAACATTCTTTTCAAGCTCACATTTGAAGAGCATGTAAACAACATCAAACCAAGTATCATAGCAGTAACTCTTGCCTGTGAAGAGCTGAAGAAAAGTGAAAGCTTTAACAGACTTTTAGAGTTAGTTCTTTTGGTTGGAAATTACATGAACTCAGGCTCAAGAAATGCCCAGTCTTTGGGTTTTAAAATCAACTTCCTTTGTAAGGTAAGATAACATTTTATAATGCTAATTTAGAATCATAATTTCGTCTGTGAGAGGGGTCACTCTAAATTGGCAATAGTACATAAGCCAAAAAAAGTATGCTTTAAAAGGATGAGTGTTGTGGTAAGTGAATTATATCTCATTAAAACAGATAAATATATATATATATTTTTAATTTTAGTACAGTAAAATCTCAAAGACTATGCAAAATCTGTGGTAGTATAAACTTCTCTGATCAGATTTTACTGTAGTTTGTAAATTTAAAAAATTGCCTTTCACAAAGTAGATGCAATATTATACTTCAGTTCCCTTGTACTTACTTAATGTCTCTCTAAAAACTACTTGAGGAGCTAAATATAATGAGGTAAATAGCTGGGAACTTTTTTTTTAATATGCTTTGCCTATTCTAGTCAAAACTATCAATACCCTTTTTTTTGTTAAATACTGTTGTTACTAAGCTTATACTAGATATATAGTCTATTTACCTAAAGTAGGAAAAAAACTCAAATGACAGTCATCTGATTGTTTTGATCAAGCCATTTCATAGTATTTTTTTTGACATTTTACTTCTCATGAGAAGAAGCAGAGAAACATAAAAGTGATAGTATATGGCCATTTCTAGGCTATAATGAACCACCTTATTCAAGGGAAAGACCTGTCTGTTACAAAGAGAAAACAATAGACACTGAGGTGAAGGCCTATAAGAAATCAGAGGGGAAGACAAACCATAAGAGACTGTGGACTCTGAGAAACAAACTGAGGGTTTTGGAGGGGAGGGGGGAAAGGGGTTGGGTGAGCCTGGTGGGTGGGTATTGTGGAGGCGCACATATTGCATTGGAGCACTACGTGTGGTGCATAAACAATGAATTTTGGAACACTGAAAAAAAATTAAATTAAAAAAAAAAGAAAGGTAAAGAGGGAAATAAATCTGAAAACAAACAGTCCCTCCTTGACATCTCACCATTCTTTCACTTTTTTTCTTCTCACAGCATAAAAAACATTGAGAAACTTTGGTTAGTTCTTAAAGTACATTATAACACAAGAATCCCAGATGTAGGAATGGATATAAATTTCTATTCATGCATTAAATAGATGTGTGCTACATATACAATGACTAGCATTTTAATACGTATCAAAAATGATTTGCTTCAAGTAGTTCTAAGCCAAATAGATGGAGAATAATCTTTGTAGGTAATAACATGCATAATGGAATTATATCTATTTATTTCTTACTTATTTTTGAGTTATATTAGGAAAGAGGGCCAGGAAGATAGGGCAGATCATCTGGAATGGTAGATTTTATTAAAAAAAAAAAAAAGTCTGTCCCTCTTCTTGTGATATTAGGGGACATGTGAAATTATTTGATAATGCCAGAGAGAATAAGCTGTGCTTTTACTAATATGGAATAAATCATAGCCAGATTTATAGGATAAATCTAAGTATTTAATATATTTTCTTTATATTGCATACCATGTATTCAATACTAATAAAGTCAACTCTTCTGAAGATGCTATTTGTTTTGAGTATATGCTGTATGCACATGAGTGAATCAAGATATTTTTGGTAAGATGATTATAAAAATATTATAAATTAAGATAGAAGATCATTGAAAATTTATATTATGTACCTATTTCACATTTCACTCATAAAAAGACATTTAAAACAAACTTACCTGATTTGAATAAATATGTACCTTTTCTAAGTGTCTTAATTCCATACTATTCCAATTAATTACATGAACTGATTTTTTATAGCAAATATAAATAAGTCATTTATACACAGAAACAGAAGATGATACTAATCTCACAGAAGGATTTTACAGTTATATTCTGGAGAGAAGCTCCTTCTTGTCATCTACCTGTCAAATAAAAGTTCTTCCATACAACACTGATCTGACATCTATCACTAGAGGTATGCTCAAAGGATTCAGCACAAAGATTTTTGCCAACTTCACATGAAATAAAAATAATCTTGTGGGAAATACTATCATGTAGTAATAGATGTTCTAAAAGAGAAGAATTGAATATTTTAAAATGCTCCCTCCCCCCCACCACTTACTCAGCAGGATTTTTATCTTCAGGGAAATACTTGTCATTAAGAAAGAGAAATATCATATACATGCATGATACTCCCCTAATGTCTAGAATTAAGAGGATGTTCTTGGGATACAAAGGATTCTGAGTAGATATAAATGTCTAAAATGACAGAAATTTATGAAATACTTAGAAATAGGTTTGTAATCTGTTAAAGTGAATTAACTGCTGATGTATGATTAGCCAGAATTGCTGTTAAATTCCAATTATATTATAGAAGATTACTTGGTTGATTTTTCTTAATATGTTTTCCTTAAAGAATTGCAGAGAGAACTTCCTTTGTAGAACACTGATTATGCTTCGAAAATGATGCCATTTTCCCCACCTGAATTATTCTAAGGATAATTTCATTTCTCAGTGAATTTAAAACTATAATCTGCTCTTTACAAGAAGCTACAGAGTATGTTAAAAAGTTCACCTACTTTGTTTTTAAGATTTTATTTATTTATCAGATAGAGGGCTAGAGTAAGAAAGTGAGTGAACACAAGCAGGGGAATGGCAGGGAGCCTGCTGGGGGACTCAATCCCAGGACCCAGGGATCATGACCTGAGCCAAAAGCAGGCCCTTAACCGATTGAGCCACCAAGATGTCCCTTATTCACCTACTTTTAAAAAAGGAGCCATGATATAAGCAGTTAAACTTATCAGATGTATCTTATAGTAAAATACTATTAAAAATTCAGATGGTCACAAATAGCTCCTATAATATTTGGGAAGAAAAGGAAAACAGATGAATTATCCTAAATGTCAAATATAACTAAATGATATCATTACTGTAAGTATGACCCTTACCACGGAATGCTTTGTTAATTTGCAGCTGTGAATTATCACTCTGTGAGTTACCAAACCAGGGTTCTGAACTATAATACAAGTTATTTCCATGCAGATGAGTTCCCCATGCTAGCTTTGCCCCCTGCTTGCCTATTGGTTGTTAAAATTCTAACGAATAGCAGTGGTGCACTTCAGGATCATTTATTTATGTTTTCAGTTATATACAATAACATATAATCTGCATAAGAGCAAAACATTTGAAAATCCTTAACACTCCATAGGCACTAAGCTTTGTGGGTATATCAGGTAAGGATCTTTGTTTGCAAACAAGGGAAAGTGATTCTGCCTGACTTAAGCAAAAAAGAAAGAAAGAAAGAAAGAAAGAAAAAGGTAATTTATCAGGAAGATATGAGATAGCTCAACCAGAAACTGAAGAAAGGCTGAATAACTTGGCCTTTAAAAAAGTAGCAACTGGGACGCCTGGGTGGCTCTGTTGGTTGAGGGTCTGCCTTTGGCTCAAGTTGTGATCCCAGGGTCCTGGGATTGATCCCTGCATCAGGCTCCTTGCTCAGCTAGGAGTCTGCTTCTCCCTCTGCCTGCTGGTTCCCCTTCTTTGTCCCCCTGCTTGTGTATGCTCTCTGACAAATAACAAAATATTTTTAAAAAATAAAAAATAGCAAAAATGGGCAGCTTTGAGAAAATGGGAAGTAATAACAAATGGAAAGTCTTTTCAAGAAATTGACTTTGTATTAACTCCAACCATTTTCCTACTCCTTGCCCTGAATTTGATTCAAATTCTTATTAGAAAGATGGGGTGCCTGGGTGGCTCAGTGGGTTAAGTCTCTGCCTTTGGCTCAGTTCATGGTCTCAGGGTCCTGGGATTGAGCCCCGCATCGGGCTCTCTGCTCAGCAGGGAGCCTGCTTCCCTTCCTCTCTCTCTCTCTCTGCCTGACTCTCTGCCTACTTGTGATCTCTGTCTGTCAGAAAGAGAGATTGATTGACCTAGTATGGATTACAAGGATACTCCTTGTCCAAGGGAAGGCATTGATAACACTGCCAAGACTATCTGTGATGGAAGATTGGTCATCTCATAAAGAATGCTGTTAAACAAAGATAAGGATGCCAAAGATTAGGGGCAGGTGAATGGGTATCAGGCAGGCCCAAACAAAGACAAAATGAAAGAGATCATTGGTACACCAGGGGAATACAAACAATACAGAAAACACATAAAAACCTCAAGAAACTAGTGGTACAATTAAGTGGTCAGGAAATAAACTACATATAGTGTATCATATAACACCACAAGATACCCCATCAATGAACAGCAAGACTAATGACTGTTGAGATTAACAGGGCTTCAGGAGGGAGGAATTTTTAATGATGGGATGGGGATGGGCAATAGTGTAAAATGGAACAGAAGGATCTTAAAGGATTGGTAGAATTAGGTTATATGAGAGAAGAAGCCACAACCTTACAAGGTGGGAGAATGCTGGAATCAGAACATACCTTTTAGCTTCCATTCTGCCAGTCACTAGCCAAATTTTCATGGCTGAGTCACTTACTCTTTCTGAACTCAGTTTCCTTACCTGTGAATGAGGAAATGCAGTAACCTTTGTTTATTTTGTTATGTAGGGTTTTTTTTTGGGGGGGGGGTCAAATAAAATGAATTTTGTCAGAGTTCTTTGAAAAATTATTTTAAATGATAACTTTTTTAATGATGGTAGATAACTAGGAATAATCATCTTGTCTTTGAAGATGAATTAGAAAAGCATATTGTCTGGAATATTGGGTGTACGTTGGAGACAAATGATAATGTTGGTAGGCAGATTATGAGAAGATTTTGAGTTATTTATATATTAGTTTACATAAGTTACCCTCGTAATTTTTTAAATCATTCATTTCATAACTTATAAGGGACATGAACCTTTCTTTTTCAGCCTTGAGTTAATATCTCTTTCCTCCATTCTATTACTTTCTAGTCATTCTAGTTGGACAGAGAGACATAAGAAATCGTGATACAGTAGGATGATCTCCTTTTGTATATTATGCAAAGAACCTGAAGAAAACATTACAGTTTACTACAGAGAAAATTTTATATATCTTACTTTGTCATAAGGATTAATATGATAATGTAATTGTT